TACTGAAAATAAGAGTAGTAATTGAATAAACTGATGATACCTAGATGGGAGTAAAAAAAGGGGCACATGTCAGTAGCAGTGACGGGATTTGGGCTTTAATGTCCATGGGGATAGGACATGAGGACTTGAGTTGGAACTGAGACTCCAGTGTAAAAGGCAGAATTCTTGAAAGCTTGCTTTTCCCTTATGAGAAACAGTGTTCTGTATAAATCCACCACTAATATAGGAAGACTACAAGGAAAGTGAATTTGGGACTAATTATCTTTTGGGAATGTGCAAGTTTGGGTTATGGATACGGAAGCCTAAATCCAAAAGAAGCATGCATGCACAATCCCCCAAACATACTCTTAAAACCCGAGGCTCACATGAATCGTACAGAAGAAGCAAGCTCTGCTAAAAATAAATTATAAAAATAAATGAGAAAATAATCCACCATGAGCTAGAGACAGCTAACATTCAGGATTAGAATGTCAATAATTTCAGATAACAGAATAATCTGAAAGAACATGAAAGAAAGACTGTAAGCATAAAAACACTATTAAAAAACAGGCCAATTTAAAAAAATGTATAAAGAACTAAAAAAAGAAAAAAGATGGGTTAAGAGATACCAAGTATAAAAGAATGAGAAGATTCAACATATCAAATAGATGTTGCAGGAAAAGAGAATAGAGAGAATGAAGGAGAGATTATCTGAAGAAGTGATGGCTGAGAGTTTTATAGAATTGGAGCAAACATGGCTTTTCATATTCAAGATTCTAAACAAGTCTTAGCCAGTATAAATTCACATTTAGACATATTATCCTGTAACTGCATGGCATCAAAGAAAAAGGAAAATTTAAAAGCAAAGGAAGTGAAACAGTATATTACCTATTAAGAACGATAATAAAAGAGATGAGTTTTCACAGCAACAATAAAGTCTGGGGGAGGAGGGGGGGGACAGGAACAACACTGCAAAAATTCTGAGAGTGGAAAATAAACTCTTCAATCTAGAATTCAGTGCAAAGTCAAATCACCAGTCCAGGCTAATTGTAATATAAAGACAACTTCAGATAAATATTAAGAATGTTTACGATTCACTAGACCCTTGCTGAAAAAACTACTAAAGGATAAATTTCATGAGAAAATTAAAGCCTGAAGGAAGGAAGAATAATAAAAGGAGCAATGGTGAGTAAAGAAACTGATAAATATATGGATAAATTCAAAGAAGCCCTGACTGAAAAAAATTAAGTGAAGAGCTGGCCGAGTGGCTCAGCTGGTTAAGAGTTAGCTTAAGAACGCGAGCTCTGAGCAACAGGGCTGCTGGTTCAAGTCCCACATGGGCCAGTGATGCTGCACCTGAGCTGAGCTGCCAACAGGTGGCAGGATGGCTCAGCTGGTGAGAGCACGTGCTCCAAACAACAAGACTGCCTGTTCAATGGTGGGCTACACCTGCCCGCAACTAAGACTGAACTCGGCACCTGAGCTGAGCTGCCGCCTGGATGACTCAGTGGTTAGAGCATGCGCTCTTAGAAACAAGGTTTCTGGTTTGACTCCCGCATTGGATTGTGGGCTATGCCACCCACAACTATGATTGAACACGGGCACCTTGAGCTGAGTAGCCGTGAGCTGCCGTCAGGCAGCTGGATGGCGACAAGACTTGGAGGGAGCTAGCTGCACCCTCCACAACTAAGATTAAAGGACAACAACTTGGCTGTTCCCTTCCCCAATTCCCCAACACTGTTCCCCTTCCCCAATCCCCCAATAAAATCTTTAAAAAAAAAATTGAGGTTAAAATTGAAGAGTAAGCGTTTAAAGAATAGAAATATAACCTATAATTTACAACATAAAGGGGATTAAAACAGGTTAAATAATCTAATCTAGAAGACAGAGAATAGAAAAAATAAGAAATGAAAGCTCATGCTTCTTTAGAATTTAATGCTGAAACACCTGAAGTGCTCCTTGTAAAGTCAGCAACAAGGCAAGGATGTCTTCTGCTACTGCTTCTATCCAGTATTACACTGGAGGTCTTAACCAAAACAATAAGACAAGAAGAACAAATTAAATTCATAACAAGAAAGGAAGAAATAAATCTGTTACTACTTGCAAATGATGTAACTGTCTGAAAAAAAATCTGAGCAATATATACACACTCGGAGAGTGCAACAGTTTCTTCAAGGAAATTTATATAAAAATATCAATACTGTTTCTATAATGCAGCAACAAACAACTGAAAAATGTAACTATCCCCCAGCAATTCCACTGCTAGGTGTCAATCCAAGGGAAGCTCTTGCACACATGCAGACAGAAATAAGAATATTTTCTGCAAAAAAGTTGTTAAGAGTGGAAAAAACAAACAAATCAACCAAACTGTCCCTCAGTAGTATATTCACACAATAGGATAAAGTGTAACAATTAAAATGAATGGATTTACAATGTGGGTAAATGTCAGAAACATAATGTTGAATGAAAAGTCAGGTTGCAAATAAAAAAAAACAAAAACAAAAACAAAAAAACAAAGAAAGAAATGTTCAGTATGGTATCATGTATGTTAAATCTCCCTAAAGTATTATTTGTGAATATATACACATGTAGGAAAAATATGAAAATATACAGGAGAATCATACAGAGGAATAAAGCTTCAAATATCACATGTATAGTTACTTCTGGGTCCAGAACGATAGAACTTCATTCATAGCTGAAATATTTTAGTTTTATAAAAGATTTTATTTTCCTTGGAAAAAAATATTTGAAGAACACATGGCAAAATTTTAACATTTGGTCTTGAGGTGGGTGTAGGGATGTATTATTTTCTGTTTGAATTCTTTCATAATTAAAAAATAGTGAAAAGATATTCATTGATTTCATTGATCAAATTCATATGTTAACCAATTTATTGTTTTACAAGTTTTCTGATCTCTGTTACATCAGAATGCCTGAAATAATGTAGATAATAAGTGTTTGATGAATGAAATACACGAGAATCATGAGAGCCACTTTGAGATTCACATCCTCCCCCCTCAATTTATACTTAATTCTACTTCCTTTTCCTTCTTTATCCTGCTTGTTCCTGAATCACGGATATATCTTAAATCTCCATGCAAAACAAGGATGATAATACAGCAAGAAAAAGAATAAACGATCTTTCTCAGATTTTTTAGACTTCCATTTATGTTAGTATCAGGTTAAGGCACAGAAAGACTGATTGATGTCTCTTGTTGTCCGCTCTACGAGTCAAACTCATCATCCACACATTAGCGGGCTGAAAATCTTCAGCAAGCTAGCTTCCAGCAATAAATTAAAACTCATACTTTGAGGTTTGGTTCCTGTTTGATTTTTCAGAAAATGTAAAATAACATTGCTACCGGTAGGATAAAGATGATGACAGATGGACTCATTCTCCAATTTCCCCTAGCTCACTTTAAAGTTTTATTTTACTTACAACAAAAGAGAGTTTTAGCATTGAAAAAGCAATGCTATAGCCTTCTACCCTTTCCCTCACGGGTGGGAGAAGGGACCCTTTTTTTCTTCATTACCATTTCACTATGAACAATAATAACTAGAACCTACAATACACATAATGCATAGTTATTGTCTGAATGGAGTTACCCTTTGCTTTGTATAGCAAATTAAAGGAAGAGTATTAAGAATATGTGTTTATGGTCAGATGAGTTCCTCGTTGACCTTTCAGAGATGTAGCTTAACTTGAGCCTATATATAGCTCTACTTATAGTAACACCTTTGTCCCAACCTAATCTTCTATTTCCACCTGATTCTGCAATACGAACAGGTTCACACATATCACCCGAAAGTAAATCATCAAGTAATGTTTGTTCATGTCAACTACCAAGGGATGTCTATAAGGTGAAACTCAAGGTTCAGCCAAACACATGTATATTTGGCCCCAAATCAGAATGCTCAAAATTATCCAACTGACTATACAGACAGCTCCAGTTATTTCAAGAGGTAGAAGATAAAAATAGTTGTTGCCTTGATTCATAGGATGTATTTAAACAACATACGTACTAAAAGTAGCTTCTGCTAATGCAAGTAGTAGTTAACCCACGTGTCTGTTTCCACGTGAGTATTTAAATGGGTCAACATCCACGTTCCTGTCACACTCGTCTAAAAAGATCCCACAACACAAGACTGTGCTACAGCTGACGCTTGATGTAGAGCTACTCAGGCAGTTACCCAGAAAGGAAACTCAGACACTCACTTTTCAGCTCTTTACATTGCCGTATTTAAAGCTGGTCTTTAGGATAAAAAACAACCCATTAGATGCCCTATCTCTTGAGAAGGCAGAGATAATATCTCTGGCAAATCAACACCTGAGTTTGAGATAACCTGGAGGTTTTTTGTTTTGTTTTGTTTTTGTATCATATGATTCAAAATTTCTAAAAATTTCCATGTCTTGTCAGAGAGAGGGAGGTACAATGGGGAAGGTGCATGAAGTTTAAACAAAAAGATGCTGGAGAAACTGTTTGCTGGTACAAACAAGGAGCAGCTCAACAAAATCATTCAAAAGAAACTGTACTTTATACAAGCTCTCAGAACTGCACTGGAGAAAAATGCCCACTGCAGATAGTCAACTCTAAGACTTTATTTTTCTTTATTTGGGCTCCAAGGTAAAAGACCATCAACTATCCTCATCTGTAAACCGCCTGGTTTATTGAATTCCTGAGACATGATATTGATTTTTAGAAACCAGCTTAATTAAAATCCTGCTCTCATAATTGACAATATACTGAAGTCACCACTGAAAATAAAATAAATATAATAAAACAGAATTATATCGTACCCCATAGATGAAGTTTATAAACCTTCTTGTTCTATGGCTTCCTATTCAAGAAACACTTTGCATCATTTATTCATCTTTATCATATCTGTGCTATCAAAATTTAAATGATCCATTATAAGATTAAATAATTTTACAAAATAATCCAAGTTCTCAGCATAAAAACTGCCACTATTAATCCAATTTGTCCATAAAGGTAAATAAAAACACATACACACACACATACCTCAACAAATATAAAACACGGGATGATGGAATAACTTCGCTGAGTGTCGTTTCCTACAGCCATTTCTTACACCATGTAGCAAGGCTGCGCCGTCTAAAATTGTCCAGGCTGAAACAGAAACAGGTAGCATGGTGTAAGGATCGTATGTATAGCAGTCCCTTAGGTAGTTACACAAAAATATCGGCTACCCTATAGATAAATAGGCTGTATACAAACAATGCAAAACAGCGATCTACAACACAGTCAAGCTAAACGAATAACCATTCCAGGGAAAAGAAAAGAATATATACTAGCCATGACCAGTCTTTCAGTCAAAATGACCAGATGAGGAGGCTCTGTGACCTAGCTATAGTCGACAGAGTTCTAACTTCCCGGTTCTGCACAGTGAGTGCCTCAACCCCCAGAATGCCCTCACACCATGAAACAGTTTGTGTCAGAAAATATTTGCCATTGTCCATCCATCCTGCATGCATCTCCTTGTTCTGTGCCCACTCCTTCCAGTTTACAATTTAGGGACTTGTTTGTTTCTGTCCTTGCCCCTCCCTTTGGAGCTGACATTTAGTGCTGAGGCACTAATCTCTGTCTTCTCCTCATGTGACCACTCTTTGCCCTGGCCCCCATGGCTATACAGCTATTAACTACTTTGGATTAATATGTCACTGATCTCTCCCTGGGTTCCTTCAGCCCTGTGCTTGTGTGTGTGTGTGTGTGTGTGTGTGTGTGTGTGTGTGTGTGTGTGTGTG